GGATACTTATTTTACAGGTGAAAGGCAATGATTGGGGTAGAGAGGTGTCCTTCCTGGAGGTGCACAGGCAATTAGGGCTGGGGCAGGTCCATATGCACAAAAGCCAAGAACAAGATTGATTGATTTTGTGCTCAAAGCAGATTTGTTTTTAAATAGGGGAATTCTATATTTAGACCATAGCCCATTCTGGAAAACTGTCAGTATTCTCTTTTGGGGGGCATGTGCATGACATAATCCCTTCCATGTTCTATTAATTGTAATTTAGCTCAGTTATTGTGTGTGCGTGAATAAGAGCACGCTAGTGGCATACGTGCAGTTCTCTCCATCTCCCTGAAAAGTGGGCTGATGTCAGTTAGTTTCATGTTCATGACTCTTAGAAGGTGTAGCTAAAGCCATTTAAAAACCAATTTCCCTTTCCCATCCCCAACATCTTTTAAGATTTTTTTCCCCCTGAAGTAATATGTGCAAATCAAAATTCTTCCTGGAAAAATACGATGTGCTATAAAGGACAAATGACCTGTTAGTGTGTGTTATATAATCAGATTTTTATTCATTTTAGAGCAAATCAGGCAAACATTAATGGGTTGCACAAATGAGAGTACTGGAGGTCTAAGCTTTGCAGGATGCAGCAGAGATAATTGGAGCACCTGGACTTCGGAGGATAGGCCTAGTCTAGACTAGGGTTCCTAATCCTGTGCTGAGTGCCTCCAGTGCCTCCTTCAGTGTCAATCTAGGCACTCCACAAAAGTCTATTCCACGATACAGATGACTGTAGTTTCCCCTATGCTGAGTCCTTTTCAGGAAACTATATTGAGAACTAAGCTGAGTCCAGGGTAAACTACAAACCTGTGACTATCTTGTCTGACCTCCCCAGTGACCTTTTCCTCCCTGCCAGACTGCCAGCTGCTCCTTTTGAAACAGACACATAGGGGATGTTAAAATGCCTTTTCTTCTTGACTTTAATGAAACTTGAAACTTCAGTGCTGGTGTAACGTCCGTACAGGGTTGCTTTTAAATTCCTTTGCTGCAGGGGCGTCTTGATGAGTGATCATTCTAATCTAAACTAAAAATAAAAATGGGAGAGAGATGAAGTAGGAAGCTGTTCTTTTAAGTATATTTCAGAACAAATATTTTCTGACAGCTGACAGATGTGCCGTTTTTCTCTCTCTCATGTTTTGTATTGTATTTTTCACAAGATTGTTAACAAAGACAAACAGCTGGAAAAAAAAGCAAAGTTAAACAAAGTTCCTCTGAATGTAAATCTGTTGAAGGACTGCACCTATCATACAATTTCCAATCTCTTTTACTAATCCCTATTGTATCATACCCCCTTCCCACTCCCAGTCCGGAACAAACTGTGAAAGGGATTTTGTTACGTATGTTTACAATCACAAAATACTTCATAAGGGATCTCTACTCTGAATTAATGATCCATTTTATAGCCTGGTTCAGTCCTCTTCTTGTTGTAACTGGACCCAAAGGCTGGGTCCCACAGGCTTCTAAGTCAAGTGCGTCAGAATGAGTCTACTCACTAATCATAGCTCTGTGTCTCCTAGGTACACGCCCTAGCTCAGATCTCTTGTGTGAGCCATTCCTAAATTGAGACATGGAACTCCAGTCTGTCTCACTCAGATCCTGGAACTACTGCCTCAAACCTCCTGAACACTTCAGTTGTTTATACATGCTTCTCCAGAATTTCACCAGTTTAAACCCATGACAGGAAAGCAAGGGACACAGCCTTAGCAAAGTAATTTCTTAACCGCAGTCACATCATTGTTTAAAAAAAACCAAAACACTACAGATTTACAGACCTTTGTACAATAATAGAAGTCCCAAAACGCAGCCTCCCACCACCTTTAATCTTACCCCTTCTGTGAATCAGGTCTTGCAAACATTTCAGGCTAAGCAGAGTCCCTCCTGCCTTCTCCCTCTCCAGCTTGGTCTTCATTGTGGCAATGGATGGTCCCCCCTCAGAGAAGCACCCCTCCTTAAATTCAGTCTCTGTCCCTTTTTGCCAGTTGCTCCATAGGCATGCTTGTATCCTGTCCCACTCCAGGCTCCTGTGTAGAGTCCATTGTTCCATGGGGATGGTCTGGCAGTTGAGAGAGAATCTGACTCAAATGGCCCTAGTGTATTGCTTTGATGGCCTCTTAGAGATTGTCTTTCACCAAGGCATCGAGCACCTTTCCTGGTCATAGTAGCTGACTGCAATATATCATAGTAACCTTGCTTTGGGCAAGGTCAGACAGGATTTTAGCACATAACACAAAATGGATGTGCTAATCCAAAATGGAAGATACAATACAAATAGAGTCACAGTTGGACCCAGACCTGAACAGCCCACTCTGCCACAATCACCATTTCACCACTAAAACAATGGGCCTCCAGAATCTCATACTGGCAAAAATCTCCTCCATTCAAATGGTTGCTATGGGTGCTTTTTAGCAGATTCACTGCATTCAGCACTGAGTGACTTTCTATCTTTTTGTGGCAATGGAAATGTTGTCTGATTAAGGACTGCAGCATTTAAATTATTATACCCTTGTGCTCTGTTTATTTCTTTTTTGTGACCTTTTAAACCTGTTCTGTGTTTTTCGGTTAAAGATTTCATTTTAGACTTAAAGGGATACTGGCAGGTTAAATACATATTAAAAGCAAAAACTTCTTCACATACATTGCTAATAACACATTGATTTTTGAAACAGCATTTAAATTGTAATATCTATTAGCTGATTACTTTTTTGCATTTCTCTGATTTTTTTGGAACAGGACATAGATTGGTCAGTTTCATCTTTGTTTACAGAAAGTTTCTAATTCATTTATCTTTTGGGTTCTTCTAATTCACATGGTGGTTCTTGCATGCTAACCATAGCTTTTTATCCTGTTCTCATACTGGTATAAATTGACAGTAACTCTGTTGAAGGTAACGGAATAAAAGAGTAAAATTCAGAGGAGAATTGAGTAAAAGTCTTGTAAATGTGGGGTAATGTTAGTTTCCAGTTGGGGAAAAACAGTCACTGTAATTTTTCTGTTGCTATTGCTATAAAAGCTTTTTACCTAATCCTAAATTTTGGATCTAATGTGAACAAAGTGTCCCTTTAAGAGGAGAGCACTGTGCCAAGGTCCTGCAGGTAGTAATGGCACCATTATTAAAAAAAAAAAAAAACACTACAACCTTCTGCAAGGAAAGGCTGTAGACAACTGCAATCAAAAAGTATATCAAATGGTCACCAAAATAAGAGATGCAGTGGACAGAAATAACACTTGGTCACTAGCTCTTGTACTTCTAACAAAGTAATTTCCAATGAAGGTTTCTTGCAGGTTACTTAGGACAGATTTTTTAAAAGTTGCCTCTCTTTGTTCTGAAGCAGGAAGAAAGATAACTGAATACAGCCATGTTGTAGCTCAATCTAAAAATAGTAAAGTTTGAGAAGAGAGATTTTTTGGTATTTTTTTAAATCTACCTTTTTTCAAATTTTGAAACTTGAAAAGCTTTGACCAACTCCATAAAATAGTCAGCATTTCTTTTTCCATCAGAGGCCTGTGTAAATGAGAACATAGTCCCAAGTCAATTCTTATGGCAAGGTATATACATCACCCAAAAAATTCCTGCTGTACTTGCCAACCTTTGGGAGTCCAATGATGGAATCTGTCAGGATGCCAAGCTATCCTCTTGCCATTAGTGGTGATCTAGGACATGGGTTCTCAACCTTTCCAGACTACTGTACCCCTTTCAGGAGTCTGATTTGTCTTGTGTACCCCCAAGTTTCACCTCACTTAAAAAGTACTTGCTTACAAAATCAGACATAAAAATACAAAAGTGTCCCAGCACACTAGTACTGAAAAATTGCTTACATTTCTCATTTTTACCATATAATTCTAAAATAAATCAAACAAGTCATTGTCTGTATAAAATGTTAGTTTTTTCTGACTTCACTAGTGCTTTTCAGGTAGCCTGTTGTAAAACTAGGGAAATATCTAGATGAGTTGCTGTACCTCCTGGAAGACCTCTGCGTACCTCCCGGGTCAGTACCACTAAGGTAGAAAGCACAGTCCTAAAGTATGTTTTCTGGACTATGCCCTGGCTGTACCTGTTCTGTTGTGAAAGATGCCAGGTGGCCTCCCTGGAGCCTTCTATTTAAGTTGAATCACTCTCCATGATCTTGGACTACATGGAGAAAAACACATTTTAAATATAATGCAGTCTGATTTGTGATAAAGTCACATACTGTTGATTGAGGGAGTCTTCCTACTGGAGATGGAGCTGATGCGGTGCAAGGATTATTTTTATATCCATGTGGTAGTTTTAAAGAAATTCCCACGGCCACCCTTGAATTAATTATATGCTACAACTGGCACCTCAGCAATAGTTGCGGCTCTCACAGGAAACACACTCAACAAAATGTCATTTCAGCTTATCATACTGCTTGGATGTTGTAGCAGTTAGCAGTTTCTCATTCATTACTTAGTTGCTTCTATAGACACATTTAAATACCATGTACTTTTGGAAGGATTAATTTGTGGTATAAACAAAAATCTGGGTTAAGGTTTAATTTGGAGTGCACATATGTGTGGACGAAAGGAACATATTATTTTGTTTTTCCCCCCTCCCTGTTTGGTCTGCTTTGAGATACCAGCTATTGAACTATTGTTCATAAGGTTCCATTCCTCCCCTGCCTTTTTTATTTATTTATGTATTTATTTATTTTTTGCACAGGCCTGAAACTTCATTTCCATGGTGATAGTGCAGCTATTTTAAGCCCAGGTAGATGGACATGAGCTAACATGTTGAAAATAGTGTGGCTATAGTGGCACCGGGACACAATCCTGCCCAACCCCTTAGGTACGTACTTAGAAGGCTAGCCAGATCCACCACAGCCACCCGGCTCTCTTTAGTGCACCAGCTTAGGCAGAGCGAACCTGTCCGCCTACCCGGTTGCGAGTGACCTGCTACAGCTTCACAACTGTTAACTTAATTCAACTCTGACTTTGCCTGCCAGATTTGCAGCTTGATGCGAGGTGGAATAGCTGAACGGGGAGGGGTCCGAGTAGGACATCGCATTATTGAGATCAACGGGCAAAGTGTTGTGGCCACTGCTCACGAGAAGATAGTACAAGCCTTGTCTAACTCAGTGGGAGAGGTAAGAATTGTCTGAATTTAAAATATTTTATCAAAGTATTGAAACACGTGAGTGAGAATCTCTCTCTACATACTTCGGCTCCTGCTGTTGAAAACAATCTGGTGCTAACACTGTATTAACACCCCTCCTCCCCACAATGAAACCATAACAGTAAAGCAGTTGTGGCTACATTATCTGGATTTTACCATTAGTTTTCAAGAAAGATTTTCCTGACTGGTTCTGACATTTGAAGCTGCTGTCAGTCATCAACCATTCAGGTAGGTGAAGAAATATCAGTCAAGCATTTTATAGCCAAGAGCTATGAAAAAATCTCTGTTTTAGATTTTCCAGTCATAAAATGAATTGATTGCCAGAGAGGCGAGAGATTAAGACTGACTAATATTTTAATCCTTTCATTTTAGCTGAGATTCTCTGACTCTGATTAGGGAATGGGGTAGGAGAGTAAAACATGTCTCTGTTCCTCACCATGTTTAGCAAAACTAGTGACTGATAAATGAGATGTGTGTTGGTGACATGCCTTCTAGTCCCTTTTGAATTTCAGGTAGCATCACTATGCTTATGCCATGGAAATACTGACCAGCAAGTTAGCCCAACTCTCCCTTCACAAAGCCGTAGTTAACTGGATTTGTGCAGGGAACACCACAAGGATGGTGAGATGGAATTCATACACCACACAGCCCCGTGGACTGCCATAGTGGCTGCTGCATCCACATTACTACAGAGCCAGTAGCCAGTGCTCCTTCCACGCTCTGGTTAGGGTGAGCTACTACAGAGAACTCCCTCTACTCCCCACCAAGGCTCACCCCCTAAAGGAGTGTTTAAGCACTGGATGGTGAGGGCTGTATGTGGCAGAAGTTCACCCCTTGTGAATTGGCATAGCTCCTACTTCTAGTGGTGAAATGATTATCACTAACTCAGAGTAGTGGGCCTTTATTGTTTATTTTCTTATTTTTCATTGTGTAGTTTTAATGCGAAAAAAATCTGTGTATATAAAAATCGTTAAATGGAAGGCTATAGCAGTTAAAAACATAGCCCAGGTAATTTATGATTTTTGGACTACTGCAGCTAGAGTTTAAGCTGTCCTAAGTAATTGTACATTTATAAAAGGCTATGGCCTGACTGTGCAGTATCTGATTTTTTTAAAATAGTCTGACAAGTGCAGATTATCATTATTTTAAAATGTTCACTGCTGTCTAAAATCACGCTTGGTTCCTTGCAGCTTGTATTGTAGCAATACGCCTCCTGGTGTAAAATCCAAAGTGGCAGGTCCATCTGTGCTTATTTTGCTACAGTTGATAGGTTTGTTGTTTCTTATACCTGCAAAAAAGTTTGTTATAATTTGTTCATGCAATGCCATGTCTTTTAACAATGTTTAATGAAATCTCTGCTTACCTCCCACTCTTCCTACTGAGTATTTACCAGTGTAATTGCCAGATGCTTCCTTTGATTATTTACTCCTATCAGAGCCCAATCACCCTTGCTAACAGGATTGAAAATGATACTTCTTGTAAATTGCTGATTTAGTGGGAATGGGGGTGAGGGAACTTGCTTTACCTAAATTTGAATGCAGTAGAACATAGTGGGTGGTGAAGTTTAAACTGCATGTTCAAAGGTTCACATTCCATGTTAGAGATACTGTTTGTGTAAAGGGATGGGTAGACAGAGGAAAATCCAGTGCCAGTCAATATTTGAGTAGGAAGGGTGAATTTTCATGTACATGAGATTTTCTTCCTGGCTAATTTCCTTAGCTTGGACAGTGGTGGTTGGATGAAATCTGTAATGGCAGCTGGTTTTCAATTGCTTTTGCTATTTTGATATCATGTCATTTAAAAACAGACCCTCCCCCCACCCCCAGCTCTAGACAGAAACCAGGAATACCTCCCCTGAAGTCAATGAATGCAGTTAGTGATATATGCATCAGGCCCCTAGTGATTCTCAACTGATAATTCTGTTACTATATTTTATGTAAATCAATTGACAGATTCATATGAAGACTATGCCCGCTGCAATGTTCAGGCTTCTGACTGGCCAAGAGACACCCCTGTACATCTAGCACATGAGGCTGTCTCTCTCAACAAAAGAACTAAATGATTCCATCAAAGTTGAAGTCTACACAGAAGCAGCAAGAATTTTGTATTTTGTGTGAATGAAAGGCTTTGAAACAGGACCTGAAGATTCCACAAACTGAATGGCCAAGCGTCTCTCCCTTGCCAAAAAGTGATAACCATCTTTATCACGGACAGTAATCACTGACACAAAATCTTTGTAAGACATAGTATTTTGCAACATCTTCTAAACTCTTTAACCATATTTATTTGTAATCTTCATGTGGCATGGTGTACATCTGTCTGTCATGTTTGATAATGAGTCGGCAGAACATTTACTGCAAAGATAAGCAACTGAACAGCAGCCTCAAGAAAAAAAAAAATCCAAGTCCCATGTAATGGTCCCTCCACAGCGTACTGCGTAATTTGAAAGCTGATCCAGGGCAGATGGCATTTTAAAATTTCAGTGATTAGGAATGTGTGCTATTAGATTCTAATGTAAAGTAAAACCGTGGTAGTATTTGGTGTAGTTACATTTGTCATAATGGTAAGTATGGCAAAGTGTGAATGTAACAAAAGAACAGGAAAGTGTTTCTGATGCTAAATAAAGAATAAATGCCACAAAATTAAAATATTTATTTACATTTATTTTTAATTTTCATGGTTTAACAGAACTACTTTTCTGATACTTAAATGTGTTCCATGGTTTGTGTACTATTTTTATTACCCTTTTATTTACATTTGCTCAAAATGGGAGAGCCGTCCTTAGTCTTTTATAAAAACATTCTTATTTCTGAGGCATTGTTCTGAATGTTTGTTTCCGGTGAATGAGGAGGAACTAGCACCATCCGCACTATTAGACTGTGTATAGATAAAATAAGTAGTCGTAAAGTTGTATTCATTATGAGAAATTGTTCATTAAGGTAACTTTGTCTTGATTTTAGGGTCGGGGGGAGGGAGAGACAGGATGACAAGGCCTTGAAGAAAATACACTGTGACTTTAGAAGCCTTACCCTGCAGTAACTGAAGCTTTAGAATTACTGTATTTCAAGGAGTAACATAGATGTTGCATGCAACTGACCTTAGGAAAGAATTAACCCTAGTCTCACTAATAAATCTGGAGTAATAAAGACAACTTGCTTATCTTGTTTATTCTGTTAGTAAGTTTACAGAATTCAAAAATCTTACTGGAAATTTAATTCTTCATCTAAGTGCAGTTGCAAAGAATCAGGTAGTTGGAATCCATCTGCTGCCTTGAAGTCAGAACAATAGTAGGTGGTATTTCTGCAGAATGTATAGTGAATGGATGCTTGCAATTACCCTACCTTTTTGCCACTGGATGTCACTGTAGCTTCATATGAATGTAGTTGAAGCAGCATCAACTTAAAATACAGCAGTATTGATGATTGACAAATACACATTCTGAACTAAAGCTACCCATCTCCAGTTACACATCCTTGTGACCTTTCCACAGATTGTCTGCCAAGTTCAGAGTGACACAGATGAAAACAGCCAAGCAATTAAACCCCAGAGATATGTTTATAATTTTGCACATTAGATTGGATTCCTTATGAGAACACTGTTCATGCCCTTTGCTGAGTTGTAGCTTGCATTGCTTTGTTCTTAAAGACTTGGCAGGCACCATTTGGCATTAGCTGAGATTTTTACACCAATTTTTAATGTAGAACAACTACTAGAAGAAAATTGTAGTAATAAAATGTTTCATGCTAACAAATGGACTAAACCAAATCAGAGCAAGATGAGGGCCCAATGGGATGACAACGATATATCTAGATTAAGGGTTTTAAAGAGGTTTTTCAGGGCCCAGGGCAAAATCTGAAACTGAGCCCCCCTCCCTTCCAAAATTACCATGAAGACGAAAGAGTTTAAGATGGGAGGGAATGGGGATGGGGGTCAGCAAGGGTCCAGGCCAGTGGGGTGGCTGCCCTCCTCACAGGGAAAGGGGAGCTCTGGCCCCTCTACTGGTGGGAATGGTATCCACAACCCTACTCCTAGCTCTGGGTGGCTTCAGACCCACCAGATGATGATGACAGGGTGGCAATGATAGGGTCTGAGCCTGGCCAGGATGGGGGAGTCACTTCCCATGATGCAATGCCACTCACTCAAACTTGGCTCAGCAGCCCCCCCATCCCTGCCCCCATGTAGCTCTGTCTGGATTCAGCTCAGTGGTTCTCCACGAAAGGTTATGGAAGTCAGCTTTTAGGCAATTCCAACAGTGCAATGGCTTCATCCATAGTGCACCTGCTGGACATAATTTGCAGCGAATTTAGACCTCAATTTATAACGGCATCTCCCAAACAATCAAAGTCATGAGCATTCAGAAGAAAGCAAAAAATAAATCACTGTGCAGCCTTTACTAGAATTAAAAGGGCCAGGGGCATTTGAGAAACAAAACAGCTCTAGCAGAAGATAACAATGAGCTTACCATCATGAAATCTATGTACACTTAGATATGGAAAGAAAGGGACCAGCGAAAGCAGCTATGCTCCTATAATAAGAGCGACTCTTTGTATTTCTAACCAAATCAGTTTGTGCAGAAGAAAGTCCAGAAATACTTTTTATTAAAACACTGATGCTAGTTAAAACCCGTTGAGTACATTAAATAAATGCAACTCGTAAGTTGTACAAAAGGTCTCTTGGTGATGGTTTTCAACAAATGCTGCAGGGCAGCAGCATCTCTATCAATACTTTCAAATCAATGCGTGTCTGTTTGGGAAAACATTTGTTACCAGTTTAATAATAACCCTTTACATTTTGCAAACTGCAGGGCTCAAAAATTTACATTCAGAAAAAGAGTGGTGTTCTTCTACTGTTAAATAGAAAGTGGAATTCCAAAAGGAAGACACTTTTTTTCCTTTCTAAGCCATCCATTATTTGCATTTCTCTGTGTGCTGGACTCTTCTCGTTGCTGGAATCAGCTTTTCTGCATACCTGTAAGCTGTTATCAAAGGATGGTCTCCCGGCAAACTCCAATCAAACTGTGTGGCCTGTCCCGCTCTAAACTGCGAGTTATGTGGGACCTGCGTAAGAAGGCAACTGGAGAACTTAGAGCACCACAGCTCTGAAGGTGAAGATCTTCTTGAAGTCGTTTTCTAGAGGTATCCACATTCTGCTGGGAACTTGTAATTACCTGATAAAGGGGGAACATGGAGGGAGGATGAAGAAAGGAGACAGGATAAGAACTGTTTGTTTTACTGCAAAGGTTCAGTCACTTCTGTTACAGTAACAGTTTTCTGCTCACTCTGTTTTATTGAATTTTACTTAATACTGGGTAGCCCACAGAAGGTAAAATCCTAATATGGCCAATGGCCTTTATTTCAAGTGGGAGGGGCTGTGCTTTTGCTGCTGGAAATCTCAGCTTCATTCCTCACTGACAACCCATGAAGCAGCATCATGTAACTGCTGCCAGGACAAAGAAAGCAGAACCCACTATCTTTCAAAAAAAAATCTTGGTTTAAATTAAAGAAAATATGTTCCCCCTTCTCACATGGGAACAAACTGGTAACTGGGGGCCTTCCAAATGGTCTGACCTGGGTGCAGCTAGACAGGAAGCCTGAGTTAAGCTGGAGTGACCTCAGGCTCTTGATCTTTATGCTGCTTCAGACCGCTTTTTAGAGATAAAGGGGAGATAGAGTACTGCTGTGGTTGGCCTCTGCTGATCAGAGAGTAAGTGATGGAATTGTGACCCCTGCTGAGGCATGAAGGAGGGGAATTAGATAGAGAGGAAGATGTTTTCTTAGAACACAGCTTTACCTTTTAGTCCTCAGGTGTAAGTTTGGGACGATGAAACTCCATCCATTTGCTTTGAGGGGAGATGGTCATGAGTGTTTTGGGGAGGGGAAGAGAGATTGATTTTTCTCGTCCATTAACTAAAATTTGTGTTCTTTCTTACCATCACTTAAAGAGCAACTCTTTTGTGAAGTAGCTTGTCACTTCCATTTACACCTCTAACTCTGAATTACATAATGGTTATTGAAAAGGCTCTGAGCTTCAAGAGCAGATTGATGGAGCTGCTTGGACTTTGAGTGACTGTTAATGTTTGCTGACTGGAAAAATAACTTTGCTAGGATTACTCCCTTTGTCTGAGGCAGCCATGTGTCTTCTTGGCTCTTAAAAGCCTACACCTGATAAAAATTGCACTAGTGGTTTCCATTTTTACTATCTGTCTAAAACACTCAGTCTATGGTCTTTTTCTTTTTGAGACGTTATGGCTTTCCATTATAGCCCTAATATACTGTTTTCAGATTTCTAACCGTTGGGAGCTTAATGACTGCAAAGCAATAAAAATGTTAACGACATACAGTCACTGTGGAATTCTTAAGTATCTCAGGATATTACTGCTTTTCCACTGCTGTAACTAGATATAGTAAGGTTAGTATTTCACTTTGTTCTACTTGCCAGCTAGCAAAAGGCTCATGCAAATTATCTTAGGATCAGGCCTTGGTCAATAGTGGACACTTTGTACAGCACTTAGGTTTCTCTGACAATGCTATTTAAAGACAGAGGAAGTTTTCATACTGCTAAGGAAAAGAGTGGACAAGCAGGCAAATGCAATACAGACAATGATTTCCAGGTTATGGGGTTGCTCCCATTTATATATCCTCAATTTTCCACCCAGAATCTTATGGTAGTGGGCTAGCATCAGTGTTCCCTCTAATTTCCCCCACATATGTGCGGAATGGGCTGGGGGGAGAGGCGCGGCAGCACTGGGATTGTGGGATAGGCTCCCCAACCCCGACTGCAGTAGATCCTGGGCACAGGCCGCCCCTCCCCCAGCCATGACTGATTGGGCGCTGGGCTAGGTTGGGGGGGCGGCGCCTCTCCCCCAGCCGCAGCAGGTTCCCTGAGCGCCTGCACAGCTTACAGGTAACTTGGGCAAGTGTGTTTCTCAGACAGCCTCCCGAACCACTGGGAGAAGGGAACTCCATTTCTACAGCTGATATTTTCATTACAAAATGAATAAGAGATCAATCCTGCAGTCGTATTCAAGTAAAACTCCCACTGAAATCAAGGACTTCAAAATTTGGCCAACAGGCATTAGCAAATTAGATGGCCAAAAAGGGTTTATTTTGAATCATGCTTTAGAGTACAAAACATCTTAAGCTTCATGCATTGTTCAATGCTTTGTGTTTTCATGGTCTCTTCCAAGCACTTGAACCCAACTTACTCCTCAGTCAAAGGTGTGGGGGATCCTCTGTTCCTTAATTCAGAGAATTGGAATTTGCCAACTTCCTAAAAAATAACCAAACCCAGCATTCATCTTCTAGCCAGAAGCATGAGTGAGCACTGTCCTCCTCCAGAACAGATGCCAATACCACTTGTCTATCTACCCAAATGTATCTGCTCCAAAATGCATCTGAGCTTCACTAGTTCAAGAAGCAAAAGCTACAAGTCAGTTTCCAAACCTCTGTATCCTATATCCTCAAATACATTTTCCACCCCGCCTTACAGTTGGGGAGAAGAGAGTAAGCTTAAAAATAAGGTGAGAGTTCCCTATAAATCTTCAAGGACAGCATCAGTATAAATTCCTGCTCTGTGGAGTTTAAAGGCCATCTTTAAAATCATGTCATGTTCAGTTCAAAATATGTCATTGCTTGACAAAATTAATACTCAAAAGCCAACCCAGGACACAAGCATGTTAGCACCAGGTTCCTGCTTATTATAAATACCATAGTGATCCTACCTGGTCTATAATGTTGGCACTGAAGATGGCTTCTTCCATGTGTCTTTCATCAGATTTGATTACAGATCTTATGCTGTTCACAACGTGACGCACTTCTGGAGGGAGATTACAGTTCGAATGTTCCAAAAATTTAGCCACCAAAATTTTTGTGTCTTTATAGGCCTTAAGGTCTACTAAAGAGTGCGGTCGCTCTTTGGAGATTGTGTTGAAGGCCTTTGGCTTTAACTGTAGGTCAAGTTTCCTTGCGTCTCTTTGTTTTCCAGTGGATGGGAAACGGCTTACAGAGTCCTGGCAAGCAGAGGCAGCTACATGAGAACTAGAAACGGGAACTAAAAATAAAGGGGGGAAAATGAATTTTTTTAAAAAAGTCTAGAATAAGAAAGGTGTCAAATCAAACATCCTCACAGGGGAGTATTATAACATTCAGCCTACAGCCTATAACTCCTAGTAGGTTCACAGTGCAACACCAGTATAAAACAAAGGAAACATTAAAAAAAAAAAAAGGAGTACTTGTGGCACCTTAGAGACTAACAAATTTATTTGAGCATAAGCTTTCGTGAGCTACAGCTCACTTCATCGGATGCACTCAGTGGAAAATACAGTGGGGATAACATTCAAAAACCGTTGGAGAACACTTCAATCTCTTTGGTCACTCGATTACAGACCTAAAAGTGGCAATTCTTCAACAAAAAAACTTCAAAAACAGACTCCACCAAGAGACTGCTGAATTGGAATTAATTTACAAACTGGATACAATTAACTTACGCTTGAATAGAGACTGGGAGTGGATGGGTCATTACACAAAGTAAAACTATTTCCCCATGTTTATTCCCCCTCCCCCACCGTTCCTCAGATGTTCTTGTCAACTGCTGGAAATGGCCCACCTTGATTATAACTATTATCTCCCTCCTCCCCAGCTCTCCTCCTGGTAATAGCTCACCTTAAGTGATCACACTCCTTACAGTGTGTATGGTAACACTCATTGTTTCATGTTCTCTGTGTATATATATCTCCCCACTGTATTTTCCACTGAATGCATCCGATGAAGTGAGCTGTAGCTCGCAAAAGCTTATGCTCAAATAAATTTGTTAGTCTCTAAGGTGCCACAAGTACTCCTTTTCTTTTTGCGAATACAGACTAACACGGCTGCTACTCTGAAACCTGTCATTTAAAAATAATGATTTTAAAGACTTCTAATAAGGGAATTGAAAGCTGGTGAAACTCTTCACACTGGCATTCCTGGAAAAGTTCTCCATTTACAGCACTGAGAGTGGCAGGGCAACATTCCTCCCCAGGACCAGGAGGGACCACATGGAAGAGTGGATAGGTAAAAATAGTCATGTTCATTGACCCTTCTGCTAATACTGCTATCATGAATGCCAGTGATACTATTTGAGTTAGGGGAAATTTTTCCACTACAGGCTGGGCTGAGACAAACATTCTTTATATACAAGCCACTGCCCCTATGCTATAAACACAGCTGTAGACTAAAGTTCCCAGGAGAACTAGTCAGACTAAGAAAAGTTTAAGATGGTCCGGTGGCTTCAGTCATTTTATTCCAAAGTGAATAATGCATCAAAACATTGTGAAAAATAGAGCAAAAGTCCATGATGAAATAAGAGATCCAGGTCTCCCCTGATTTTCTCCTGAAGGCTGCTTCCCAAAATATGTGGATGTGCTGCATTATAATTTGTCACAAATCTTTGCCCCCACACCTACCTCAGTGGTTCCAATACGTTTTACTAAGGCAACCTACCAACTGCACTGAGTCTTTTTTTGCGAACCACCATTAAATATATGTATCCTGTGCCCTGGCATTGCAACCCTAACTGGCTTGGTGGATAGGTGATGGAGGGGCAGCAGGGTCAAACTTAAGTGGTGGTGCAACCCCAGGTGCAGGACAGGAGCCACTGCTGCAGGGTGATCATAGGGTGGACTCACTCTCCACCCACCCCTGCCCCTCTGCACCAAGCCAGGAGAAATGTGTATGTGCCTAAGTCCCCGTGACCCAAATGGGATGGTTTGGGAACCATCTCTTTTAACTGGGAAACTGTAATGAAGCACTAGAATAAAAGAAAAGAGAGATAACATCTGGATCTAGGCATCATGTGCATGGAAAATGGCATTATCCGATACGGAGCATAATTTATTATTACTATTATTATTAACAGAGTTTGGGGGAAAAGATTCCCAATTACTTGATTTTATTTTTCAGTCTGTAGCTTGGTATAATTATTGATAGGGAAAAAAAACCCTATAATCCAATTTTAGGAAATCAACTCCTCTCCTATTTCCTAATGTTGGCTACATGTAGGAGCTCAGGCAAATGATCACTTGTTAAGAAATGTTTCCAGGGTTATGATGCATTTTCCTCTTTGTTGTATCTTTATCAAAGGTGCACATATTTAATATTATAAGCCTAATCTTGACAACCAGTTGACATCAATGATGCGCAGTGCGGACTCAGCTCCTTTTGCGAGCAGGCCCTATTGTAATTCCTGAAGAGACCCAATTAATCATAGAGGTATCTAGGATGTACTAGAAACAAGCAGGATGAATTCCTCTTGCCTCTATGTCTAAAGGAGCAGGAGTTCTGTTTAATAATACCATGCCCCATTACAGATTCATTCTGTTGCAGAGCAAGTGTCATGCACCACTAATTTTAGTTAATATACGCATTCTGGATAATATTGTGCCAACTTTTCCTGAGCTCCATCCTATCATTCAGTTGCCAAAGCATCAATGAACTGCAGAGGGGCTATCAAAGCATCTGCAAACAGCTCCAGAGGTATTTTGCTCTCTGCTGAAAGGGTACCTGTGAGGCCAGCACAATGATCATGTGATGATGCCACATAGTAATTACCACCACAGTCTTTTTGTCCGCAGGCTTCTGACAGTCAGAAAGGATTACATCCACCTATTTTTGGTAAGCCTGTTTATTACTCTTTCCAACAGTGAAAACTATTTTGAACTTCTAGGTACATTACAGAATGTTTTTCTTCTGCATCTTCAGGGCAAAGCATATAATGAAAAACTGGTCTAATCCTTCCTGGCAAAGTGTATAATTAAACCAGGGAAAAACAATATTAAAAGAACACTGAGTCTCACAAACTCAAAGTCATAATGAAATTAAGAAGGCTGGCTGCTTCTGTCCTTAACTTGCCTTGATGTACCTAGGTACTGCAATACATGATGGTGTATGGCTCTCCAGTTAAGAGGTAACATTTCAATGGGTTTAAGTGGAGTTTGTCTTGGCAGCCTTTACCACACTCATGACACTGGGCATAGAGCAAAATGAAATACTAGACATTGTTATCTGCCACACTAGTCACTATAGAGAATGCCAACAATGGATGGGTTTACTTTGGACTAGAGTGCACAGCTATATTGGTAAACCCTCCCAGCATAGATGCAGTTTATACTAGTATCACTAATTGTTTTAGTCCTCCTTTGTTATGGTAATAGCTTAATGAAAAAACTATAAACAATTCATTTATAAATAATTTTAAAATTGAGAACCCATTTCTTACTGAGATTGTATGTGAATTTACCACAGTCACAATGTGCAGGGATTACTGACCGTAAGAGTCTATTACATCAAAGGTATTTTTGATGTTCTTGTATCTGAAACAGCAGATATCCTGCTTTAAACAAACAAACAAGAAATCTGACTCCCAACATCAAGAGGTAAGTGGATGGACTATTGACCAAAGAGACCAGAATGGGTCTATCATGTCAAGTCTTACTTGGGGGCACATTAATCTGAGAATTATTGACACAAAACTCCATAAAGTCTTAAACCTGCTTGGAAACAAACACTTTAACTCCTGGATTATTAATACATTAAGCGTAATGGCTGTTGTGTTACTGTAGGTAATGCGCAAGTGCAATAATTATGCTCAAATATTTTATGCTGGAAGCTAGTTGTGCAATGGCTGTAGCATGCATGATCCAATCTGGCAGAGACCCTCCACATCAATATGTAGCATTACATTTATAAATGCCTGAAAATCAGTACTTATATAGTGGAAATATGGCAGGCACCTGAGAGAAGATAATTGGTGGCGCCTGGGAGCGGAAACTGAGTTCTAAATTAACATTTTCCTACAACTTCTCCATCATGAGACACATACCTGGTCTTCCCCCATGAAAGATCGCCCCCACACAAATCTACCAATGTAAGCACTTTATTTTCTGTGCGTAAATTCCCCATCTATACAATGGGGATAGCAAATAATTTCTCCCCCACACTTTCTCTTTTGTCTTTTTAGACTAATCTTTTTGGGGTAGGGACTCTCTTTTCACTATATATCTGTACAGCACTAGCAGGATTAGTCTCATTTGGGGCCTCTAGATGCTACTGTAACACAAATGATAATAAAAGGACAGAAAGCTAAACTGTAAATTACTGGCAACGACTAGCTTTTCCTCTGCGTTTTGGGTGGAGCCCAGCTAGTTCCCAGCATCCCACCTCTTGTCCTCAACTCTGTTGATCCCCAGTTCCATTTCTGCAAGGTCACACCTCCCCCCAGTGCAAGCCCTCAGGCACAACTCCCTCCCTGCGAGGAAGTAGAAACAAGCACAAAGGAGAGTGGGTGTGTCAATTTTCTGTAGGTTTGTATTCCTCTGGAGAACATTTGTTTGGTCTGGCTCGTGATCAGGATGCTGATGTTTCCTTCCCCTTACCTTGCTTTTCTCCTCTATGGAAAGCAGGGACCTGTGTGTGCTTTAACATCAAAAAGCTTTCTTCCTACTTCTGCCAACAAATTCTAACACAAATACGGAGCCATTGGGGCCCTTCGTACTGGGCTGAATCCACCTCACTGCAACACGCCCACCTAGGTGGACTTGGCACAAAGGAGTTGCATGGGTAGAAGGGAAACAGAATCCTCCTTCCCAGGCATGGAACATCAGTAGAGTTCTGTGCCAGATACTGCAGCAACTATGCTGAATGCTGTTCCCCCATTCTGCAAGGAACATCCCCACTCCTTACCTGGCCACTCTCACTTTGTTCCCACACCCCAGCATGGTGGTGTGCCAAAGAATGTGGACCCCCTTGAATGGGCTGCAGATCTTCTGCCTCTCCTCCGCTGAAACTACCCCAATTCCACTGTGCCTCAGGCCTTCACTGCTGCATAGAAGTTTTTCCACTGAATGAACAATGTACAGCCTAAAGCAATTACCAGATTGCAATTTGCAGCATCTAAACATTCCATGTTACACTCTACAGCTTCATAGCCCACCCCTGAAGTATCCAGATCAAATGCTTAGGCAGAGAAAGCCAAAGATAAGCAACTCCAGCTGTGTGTCACAAGAGAAAGGACCTTAGGAAAGATGAAGCTGAAGGGGCTGATACAAATAGCTGCTACATGTCTTTGGAAATATGCTTCTTGTAATATTTATGTAATTTCCAAATAATGTTCAACAAACTCTTCACCCGAGCAGGGAGGAAAGCAGGCATTTGTTATGACTAGGGTTGAGGAACTTCATGGAGCTGGAGATTTTATGAATCTGTCAAACTGTTGCTGAAGATTACAAAATGGTTTGAATTTGCAAAGTTCTCTTTCCCTTCACTTAAACTCATCCATTTCTTCAAAGGGATTTAATTTTAAAGAACAAACAATCTGGTGATGAAAGAATCTCCCACAAGCTAGATCAGCACAAGTAAGCTTCCTATATGTTACATACACACAGGGGCATACTGGTGTTGTCTTTAGATCGTTCTCTGCCACTTTATTTACAGTCTCTCTTAAGCAGAACAAACAACTTAATGTTTGAGTCCAACTTTTCAATGCATGAAGTGGGTGGTAAATTAAACAAAATGAGTTCCCATATCCCTAGTTTTAACCCACACAGCTTCTTCTTACCAGATATGCAGCATTATAATAACATTCACACATAAGAAATCCAACATATACTATTTTTAGATTAAGGACACACTTTTATTGGGTGGCAATTTGAAGCCAGGTTTCCAGATTTAAAATGCCAGTGCATTAACTCACTGTCCCAGGGAGCTCACAGAACTACGTGTTAACGTCTCTGAAATTCACAGAATCACAGAAATTAAAGATCCAAAAATCCTAGTAGATCGTCTAGCCCATCATCCTGCTGGTGCTGGGTTATTCTACATATTATTTTCTTTTCATGTTTTGTCTGCTTCTGCTTTAAATTAGCCAAGCAATGACTCTTCCACCAGTTCCCTTGGAAAACTATTCAACAGGCCAACTGCTATCACTGGTAGGGGAACTTTTCTTCCTTTTACTTTCAATCTATTTCTCCACTTTACTCCTTTGAAAATCCCTGAACAATTTACTTCTTTTTGTGATGTCGATCCCTTTTCAATAGTTATAGACTGTTGTATCATCTCTGCTATCATTTGGCCAAATTATTCTACTGTAACAAATACTTTCTCTTTCACAGTAATAAACTGATTTTTCATGAAGAGTTGGCAGCTGCTAAGCAAGACCTCTCCCTTTCTCTCCCTCTGTGGCTGAGGGGGTTTTATAGCAGAAGAGACTGCTGCAGGAGAGCCAGACACTACCACCTTCTTGTTCTCATCACCATCCTTCTGAAACTGACCCGCTGTCTTGTCACTACACAGTCATACTGCAGCTGCTGCCTCTAGAGACAATGCTGTGAGTGTATCGCTTGCTGATCCTATCAGACAGTGCCACTTCAGGGAGGCAAACCAGAAGCCAGGCCTGCTGCACTACAAGTATATCTGCTTGGCCACTCCCCTTTCCTGAGTGGTACCCCAGCTTCCACTCAACTCTTTAGTCTTGGTGTTCAGTGTGACAGTGGCATACTAGGAGAAGCACCTGTTCTTTATACGTTGCCCAAGGTGTAGTTTTTTGACTCAGTGCAGAAAGGTCAATACAATTAAGAACAAAAAGAAAAGGAGGACTTGTGGCACCTTAGAGACTAACCAATTTATTTGAGCATGAGCTTTCGTGAGCTACAGCTCACTTCATCGGATGCATACCGTGGAAACTGCAGCAGACTTTATATACACACAGAGAATATGAAACAATACCTCCTCCCACCCCACTGTCCTGCTGGTAATAGCTTATCTAAAGTGATCATCAGGTTAAGAACAGCAATTATTAATTTCACACGTGTACACTTTTCCCCACATTCGTTCTGCCTATAACTTTTAAACATGGGAAATGTACAAGGAGCTAAATTCTACATATGTAAATCACGCTGCAAAACTTGATATAACTTCCAACAATACTAGCTGCAAGATAAATCACCTGTGCTTGATTTGTTCCATACTACATTGCCTTAGTGGCCCACACTTACCTTCTGTGCTGGATGAACATGATACAGGGTCACTAGTGGACCGGACTATGTTTGGAATGCCGTATTTTCTAATGTAGTGCTGCTGGGCAGTTCTCTCGGGGCAGCCATAGTGTGATGAAGTACTTGCAGGCACAGAACAGGGAGAGGGCTGAGAGTGTACAGCAGCAGGCTGGTTAAAGACCCCACAACAGATTTTCATTTGTTTCAAGGGTGGCGTGGCTTTGTTTTCTCTAACAGAGCTCTGGGATTCTCTTTCTGATGGGCTGAAATTCTCTGAAGAGCAGTCTGAGGCTCTGCCATGAACATAGTTCTCATATTCCTGGCCTTGAGATCTGTCCATAGAAGCTCTGCTGTGGGAACTCCCATCCTCATCAGGGGAACATTGGGAGTTAGTCCTGTGAAACCCAGAGCGAATGCTGTGATCCAAACTGGTGCAGCTTCTGTTTGTGGCCCCTTTGTGGGTTGTACTGTATGGAGAAAAGTGTGTGGAATGAAGAGACCCCTGAACTTCCAGAGAATAAAGATCCTCTGAAGAGTAGCTATGATCTGGGATGTCAGCAACCTCAGAGACCATAAGAGAGGTACTGTCAACAGACACTGCAAAACAAGGCATTTGGAGTATTAGCATATTGCAGTCGTGTATATCATCATTATTAGTATTCATTCATTGATCAAAGTTTTATACCTACCAGTATTATCAATGCTAGTTTTGTGTCTAACACCTTGTAACTAGGCATCACATGTGTCTCAAATACACTTCAAGGACCTTTTCGAAAAAGAGTCCACCCTTGTACCATCTCTCTAGCATACAAAATGTACAGCGTATCAGAGATTTCTTTCTCTCCGTGGTAGATAAAAGCTCAACATTCTCTGCAGATATACATCACCGTGGAAGCCTTTTGTATTAGAAGCTGAGATTTTTATCTCTTCTTCCAAGATGCTCACACATTTATATTATAAACGAAAACGTCTGTGTGTTACGTAAAGTTGTATTTTTCTCCTCTTTTTGTCAGAAATGGTTTTCAAAGAGAACAAAGAACCATACCTACATCCTGGCCTATACGTTCTTTTTTGCCTAACTTCAGAATACAACCAATTACTTTTCTATAGTGGACTAGAATTGATGAGGAGTTACCAGGTGTCATCCCCTAGTATATACAGAATATACATCACTTAAAATAAATTGTTCCATTCAGCTCAGCAATCTCAGATGCCAATGAAAGCTTATGCTCAAATAAATTTGTTAGTCTCTAAGGTGCCACAAGTACTCCTGTTCCTTTTCATGTAATAGCTGTTGATAGCAATGTTGGTAAGGTAAGGTCTAGCTGCACAATGACTGCTTTACTGTGGCACTCACAACAGTGACAAGGTTATTTTGGGGTATTTTTGTGAGGGTGGGCGTTGGGGGAACCTAGCGTAGACACAGACATAGCATGTTAATGTATAATATACTTAAGCAAAATGTTTGCAGTTTTGTTGTGGCCATGTTGGTCCCAGGATATTAGAGAGACAAGGTGGCTAAGGTAATATCTTTTATTGGACCAACTTATCTTGGTGAGAGAGAAAAGCTTTCAACCTGACACAGAGTTCCTAAAGAAAAGCCTGTGTAGCTCAAAAGCTTGTCTTTCTCACCAACAGAAGCTGGTCCAATAAAAGATATTACCTCACCCACCTTGTCTCTTTCTCAGTATGTAAAGGAATACATTCTTGTGGTTGGAGGCAGAACCTCTTTAGAAATGAGAATATACATGAAAATGTTGGATTTATATTCACTGTATGTATTCTATCATGTTAGTAATACCAACATTTAATAAAAATGTAATGAAGAGTTACATTTTTAAAAGATGCACATATACTTTTACACCCCCCATTATGTGTCAAAGAAAGAGTATGCATTTTAAAAATGTCTACATAATAAATACATTTGCACAGAGTTACAAAATGTTTGACTGAATCACTGATTCTTAACTCAACTACAGCATCACATATTATTTCAATACAAAGCAGAAAGGGGAGACATTCTGCTCACCATAGTGACCCAATAAATTCAGTTTTGATAAAACAAATTAAATATCTGCTAGGAGTATATAAGAAAACTCTTTGAAAACAGCACCTCCTTAATAATAAAAACTGGTCACCTTGAATCGTCAACATCACACTTCACTGCACAAAGATGTCAAATTTTTTTTTTAAAGAATATTTAGTGCTCGTGAAAAGTGAGGGATTGACGACTTTGAAGACCGAAGACTTCTAGTTATCCACAAAACAGACACATCATGGGAAGTATCCGATTTCCAACACTGATTTGTCAGCATACTCTGACACTGTTTTGGAAGATATTAGAGGATAGTTCAGTCCTCAGACCTGTTAAAACTTTAACTTCTCTTCTGAGATTGTCAGCAAGGGCGCCAAGAGGTAATACCTACCGGATGTTCATGTTGGCTATAATGTGGACACCTATCTGCTGGGGATTGGACTGAGACCATCACCGCATTTCATACATACCACTGAACAGCCATCAGGTAGTAACACATTCTGGTCATTGAGCTGAATTTAAAACAGTGACCTAGAGGTGAATACCTCTCAATGTCAATCAGACTTGTTGCAGAAAGGCTGTCCTGACAAATGTGGTTAAAAGAATGAGCTGGCCCTGTGCTGCTGATGATCAGCATCCCTATTCAAGAGATCTGCCTTCGAAAAAAGAGCTCAGGTTCATTCCTGGTCTTCTGGAGAATTCACAGCTAACATACTGCAGAGCAGCAGTAGGGAAGAGTGATGTGAGTGTACCACTCCAAAGGCAGCCACAGTTGCTTATTAATATTATTTATAGAGTGCCACAGGAATGCATGGTGCTTTAAAGACAACTAAAAGCCTCAAGAAAGCTTCCAAAGTAAGCTTTCCACAGAGCTTTGGAGACACCTTTGGAGAAGAAAACTGGCTTTTTTCTATGCCTACTTAGCCATTCTAGCAACATCAGTTTGTGAAGAAGAAAAGTAGTGAATGACTGGGACAAAAGTTATTATGACCAAGATGGGACCAAATCCCTCCTCTTCAAGAGGAAACAGCCCACTATAACACCTGGTCTACACTTAAAAGTTAGGTTGACATAGCTACGTGCTCAAGGGTGTGAAAAACTCAGACTCCTGAATGACATAGTTAAGCCAACTTAACCCACAGTGTAGACACGGCTAGACTGAGGGAAGAATTCCATCGACCTAGCTACCGCTGCTCAGGGAGATGGATTACACACATGGATGGATAAACTCCTTCTCTCGCTCTAAGCCCTACGTCTAGGCTGCAGTCTATGGCACTACAGCAGAATAGCTGCAGCAATGTCGCTGTGCCACTGTAGCACCCATAGGACAGACATGGCCTTAGTGACAACTGCATGCTCCCAAAATAGACAGACAGTAAAATCACCTTGTGTACTTAAGCCAGCTGTCGTGTTTCTCTCACCCAAACTGGATTCAGTCACTTCCTGAGCTGTACCGGTGATCTGTACAGAAAGCATATAATAAAGAGTGTGTTAGCCTACAGATAGCATTACCCACAAATACAGGGCTGAAACATACTGTCATGGATCTAAAGGATATGACTGGTAATGTGAAAAAGCTATCCTACAAGTTGCTATTCAAATCAAAAGGTATTCACAGACATAGCAATTTACTATGTTTTTGGATCAGCAGCAGATGCAGAGTAAATGAATATGCCTAAAGCAATTGCTAGATTTTCCAGAATCTATAAAATAAATTATCTTGGGTTCAGAGGCATTTAGGGCTTCAGGCTAACATTACAAAGCATAATGACTGTGGTGCTTAAAATTAATGCTCCTATCTTCTTAGCATATGTGCAACATGCCTCAGATGGCACATGACCAGGATTCATCACTGAATTTGATCCGCTGGTTGGATCATTAGCTTCCCTGGCCAGTACTGACGGGGAGTGCAATGTGAACTGATCCATGCCCCACAATGCTCCTATTACCTACAGTCTTTCTGCAGTGGGGAAAAGTGCAGGGGGAACCAGCAGAGACTACAGCTAGTAGAAGCAGGTTCAGAAACAGCCAACGTGCACACAGAGAACTTTCTGCAGTTTTGACTGGACTTTCTCTGCCCTCTGCTGATTGGCTGCTTGCTCCAACCCTCTTCTACAACACCCTCACAGTCTCTTCACCTCAGCTTCCCGTCACACCCTCTTCACATATTCTCTTTTCCCCTGCCCTGTCATCCTCACCCTTCTTCCCTTCAGCATGCACTCCTTTCACTTTTCTTTCCATGTACCTTATCCCCGCCTAACTAATCATGGAACTATCATGCTATCTGCTGTCCTCACATTGTTCATGCTGCTTTTCCCCAACCTCTATCTGTCTTTTTAGACTGTGAGCTCTTTGAGGCAGTCACTGCCTGATACTCCGAGTTTGTACAGAACCTAGCACAATGGGGCCCCATTCTTGGTTGGTCCCTAGGCTCTACCATAATAAACATTAATAATATTCTTTACTTTTGGTCCTTGAAAAACTAGAGCAGAACAGCTTTTGGGTTTACTTTGCAGAAGTACCTACATTTAAGTATTGAATGTAGTAATCTCTAAAATGCTACAGGGTTCTTCTAGATGGATGGTGCTCTATAAGAGTAGGGCATTATTATTATTTATAGAAGTGGACTTATTACAGTTGCCAACAATTTGCAAGGGTGGATTATTATTAGCAAATGGTTCCTTCTGCCAAAAGGAAATTCAAGGATGATTTACCCCCCACCCCGACCCCCAATTATTCACTGATGCAGCACAGTTTGTGGTTTTGAAAAGTTCTTCAAAGCCTTTTCCCCATCATTTTAAAAAATCTTAATGTATTTTTCTCATTGAAATGCAGTTACAAATTTCACTTTAAATATAGATGATAAAAGTCAGCTGATGGGTTTCTGTAAATCACAAAGTCTCATAAGGAATGATAAAATAGTTTTTTCTGAAAAAAACAGAGATGGGTGTATGAGCGAGGAGAGTTTGCAAAACAAAATACAGATAAATGCCTGATTTATTACTCATTAAGGGAAAACAGTTAGCATTAAAAAGCTATCAACTTGATTAAAATTAGATACAACATTCATAACTCCGTATTCATGTGAATTCCTGTTGGAGATTTCTCCGCAAAATCACTAAGAGGGAGCAGTGCTCAAAGAGAGCATGCTAAAGGGGAAGAATTTTTAAAATCTTTAAGAACTTGATTCAAACACTACTGAAGCAAATGGGCTTTAGACCAGGTCCCTAACCTTGTTTTTAACCCCTCCATCAGATTTTTAGCAGTTCTTTGGGAACCTGCTATTGGAAAAGAATAAATGGTAATTATAAATAAAACAAGAGTACCAAACTATACCCTAAGACAAGGTCAGTATAGCATGAGATGTTATGTCATCTTTAGCAGAACACATCACATCTGCTCCTGTACGGCCACATTTAACTTTGCAATGTTAGCTGCACACCTGTGCCACTGTAGCTCTTCAGTGTAGACACCATCTCTGCTGACAGGAGGGTTCATCAGCGTAGTTAATCCACCTTGCCAAGAGGTGGTATCTAGCTCAACGGAAGAATTCTTCCAGTAACCTAGCACTGTCTACATCAGAGGTTAGGTTTGCTTATCTACACCACTCAGGGGTGTAGACTTTTCACACCCCTGAGTGATGTAGTTAAGCCAACTTAATTTTCCAGTGTAGATCAGGCTAACTAACTTCTTGCCTGCTGAATCAGACGTAAGATATTTCCTACCAATGCTCACCTCCAGTAATGCCAGGCGAATCTTGGACATTGTGGCATTTAGTCTGTATGGAACATACCGAGAACACTTGAATTTTTCAGTAATGGCAAGAAGGTGAAATGTTTTCACCTGTGCAATGGCTCAGTTGCTAACACCGAGACACTACTGCCTCCTCCAGGGAGTGGATTATGCAGGGAGAATTTGGAGGTAACACTCTTTCTCCAGGGTAAGGGTGAAGATTACATCATTCTTTCTCAACCCTTTAGAGTTTATTCTGGTGTACAAGATCAACTTCAAAGTGAGTCACTTGCTTTCTCAGCCTTAGAAGCACCACATGGTCCAAGAGCTCCTTTAGCACATTCCTGAGAAATGGGGCTGAGTGAATAAGATAGTATGCTTGGAAACGTAGGGCTCTTCCACTGAAAATTGGTAAGAAAAGTTTCCTGTTATAAATGAAAAGACAAGACCTCTCAGCTTAACCTCTGGGCTTCTGGCTGTAATGTGCAGACTCTTTACATTGGCATATAGCTTTCTTTAAATGTAATATTTGGCCTTCCTAGTGGTGGTACTTTGCTGGCAGACTGGAAATCATATTGAGGAATAGATAGGGCATTTTTCCACTTTACAACATCCCTTCTCTTAATACCACCAGAGTACCATGAGCATCTTCTTTGTATAGAGAAAGGATGGCAATATCTTTAATCTCTACATAAAAATATCGACTGCCTGAGGCTTCAGCTGCTCAGTGGCATCCAAAGAAGTGGAAGATGCATGGAAAGTTTTTAATCACTTGAGGAAGCCTAGCTATAGAGAGAGAGAGTTAAAAATCACTTACAGTTCTCAGATTTTCTCTCTCTCATTGAGCATTTTTTTCAACATTCAGACTCCATTTTACTTGGAAATACTATATGAGAATTTAAGCCCTGAGCTAAACCATGCTTTCTGCAACCCTGCACAGCCTACAAATTAGTAAAGCTTATAAGACATTCACTGGAATAATTCATCCAGAGACTGGGTCTTTCTATTCTTGTCTTTCGCCAAACCCTAGCAGATATCACCCCTGGAAAAGCATCGTGAAAAGCAACAAGTTGCAGAATGGATGACAGCTGCAAATTGTATTTAGAAGCAACCACTGCTACTAGCACTGACGTTTTCTGTACCTATCCAGGAAATAGCCGCGTCTAATTTGATAACATGCTGAAGACCTTAAGCCCCATAAAAACAAACAAAAAACAATATGCCTGAAGCTCAGTAAGAGGCTTAAGAACTATTATTGCTTAATGGCTCCCAGCAGCACTTCTGTAGCTAAAGCTCTGCCATTATTTCCATTGGAAAGTCTGCCTTTGAGGAGTTTATAAATCCAGTCAATTCAATTCAGACCGTGCTGCAACCTGGTGCATATTATATGAGAGTGTGTAGCATGTATGTAAGAATTTGAGGCTCCATTCTATATTCCTTGCAGATCTAAATTTGTCACTGATTTTAAGGCTGTGTTCTTCAGTTTTTAAATTCCTTGGGACTTCTGGTCCACAGTGAATGTAGGTTTGGGCCTTTGATGTTAATGAAAGTGTCAAGAACACAAGTTGTTCTGCAAACTCTACCACTGCCAATGCACTTCACTCCTCACCTTCCACGCCTCTTGCCAATCTACTCTTAGAGCTTTCCTGCCAGACATACAGTGGGGTGATGTGGATTAACACCCAATAAGAGCTTTATAATCATTATCACATAATAATTAAAAATCCACCACCCATTTTCACTTGAGATCGGAACCAACACTGGTACCCAGGAGCCCAGAGATAAATGGGTGGTGCATTGACACTGACTCAACTGTCAGAGATTTATGGACAATGCATCTGCTTAGGGGATTCTTTTGGGGAGGCCTGACATAATAGGGTAGAGGATGATTTTGCTGCTCTAAGTTACTAGCTTGTTAAGTTAATTATTTTTGTTGTCTGTGAGTGCCACGTGCTGCTGGGGTGGCTGTTTCTGTGTAAATTGTGATCCTGACTAATAGTCAGAGCATGCAGAACGGTGGACAGGCATATTTTTGTATTTAAATATAAATAAATAAATAGCCATTTATATAACCTTCTCGCATACAAATTCTCATTTGAAATTTTTTTTAAACCAGATATGATTTTAATTGCTTTTGCCTTTTTTTTAAAGGTAGAGATAAGACAAATATAAAAACATTGCAAAAAACCCTAAGGCTTTCAGATTCCTTTACAATTAATGCTGTAAAGAAAACAGGGCAGAATTTCAGTAAATAACATTTGAGAAACGAGCTAACTGGGATTCTCAAATTTTGCTGTTCAGAAGCAATTTTCATTGACTCATTTCTATGACTGAAGAATAAATCAAAGAGACAAGGGGGTAAGTAATACCTTTGATTGGACCAACTTCTGTTGGCTAGAGAGACAAGTTTCGAGTTTACACAGATCAGAGGCAAACAATATTTGGCCTGTTGCTACCTTCTACCAGGTATAAGTAGACTAAGCGAGAAAAACAAAGACTTAGCAGAAGCTGCTTTGTGAGTTAAGAAGGTTGAAATGTCTGATGTGTCTCATTTAAGCCTAGCTGCACATCCCTTGAGCATCCACCATTGCTGCTTTCTTTGGACACTTTTTAAATTGTCAGCAATTTTCCCTCTGTGGAGGTGAGTCATGTATTTATATTTTAATCTAATGTTTCTTAATATGTTGCTTTCCCTGGGGCAGAGCAACCACAAGTTATTTCTTGTATAGTCTGAGTGAATGTGCAGCACTCTAGTAACACATAGTATAGATAGATTCAATGTTAACCAGCTATATGCACATAACTCTGCAAATGTTCACCTCAACCCTGACAAGCAGCAGTTGGATGTTAAATTCCTCAGACTTCCTTGAGTTTCTACTGAAATTTGAAGAAAATCAAAGAAATTGAGACTGTTATATAGGGTGGCAGTTAATCAGCGTGATCACCAAGCACCCCTCACATATCACTGCTTAATTTGGCATTAACTGTGTCCCCCATGTGCACCATAATTCTGTAACTGATTGTCTAAATGGATTTTGAGTCGTATGGTATGGAATAAAGGCAGAAAATACAACTGAAAAATATAAATGAGATATACTGGACCTTTTGTTGAAGCTCATAATGGAGTTAAGGGGCTTACAGAACATTGTTATTGATACAATATATCAGCCATTACTGCAAGTAACAGCATCAAAAAGTATGAGCAACAGCAAAATTACAAACAAACGTAGATTCTGCTCATTGCTTTATTACAGAAACATGCCCCTATTTCTTATAGTTCACTATATAGCTGTGTGTAGTTCCTCATCACTTAATGTAATCACTAGATACAGGTCAGTTCCTAGTATTTTGGGGCCAGCTTGGTTTCTGTTCCTGGAAGGCTATATGTTAGAACTGGCAGAGAGTAAATTTTGACACTGGGTGTAAGCCTTTCTGTCAAGACTTGGGCAAGTCATTATAAGAAAATCTATGCCAGCTCATTTCCAGAAGATAATTTGAGATCCAATTCCAACTGCAAAGCACTTTTTTTAAATTGATCTAAGTTAATATATAGTCTTTTGCAGGAATTTCTCCTAACTCAAATATGGTACTTAATGGAATTTTATATAGAAATTTGTATTAATCTAAGCTCAGACCACAGGACATGTTAAAATTATATGTCACATGAGCTGTATTTCTAAGACACACACAGATGGAATCATCACATTTTGTACCAAACAAAATTACCTTCTTGGTTAGCAAATCTAATCTCCTACCTATGCACAGTACATTAAAGAAAAGTAAGGCAATCTCCCTGTTGTAGGCAGTAGACTACTTTGAATAAATGAAAACTGCTTCCTACTTGAGGATTCTTCTTACCAAAAGGGCCAAAGCAGCCCAGTCTCACTTCAGAATGTCATTCTCCATCGACACCTAAAAAAAAGGTTCCTTGCTTCAATGGCTCAAATCTCTCCTAGGATTTCTTCAGTGATGTTCCAATGTTCTGTGGTTATTTTTGTGATATTTTAAAATGAATGACCTCAACTGAAATGCCATGTCTTATATAAACATTTATCCAAGCATGCACCCAGAATTTAGGAGGAAGCAGACTTATAGGTGAAGGTCACAAGCTATGACTGGGAAAGGAAAACACCCATTTAATTTAAAGACACTGGACCAGAAATTATCAGTTTAAAGAATGCAAAAGTGCTCACAATTCAAACACGTTTATCACTGTGTCCTTCAGGTACTTTTACCTCCTAAATTCTTTAGTAAGTAAGAGAATGGCCAAAGAAAATTCATCCCTATTTCCTTTGATCTTTCCTTACCTGACTAGCAGGGGTCTGTCCAATCACTGCTTCATAAGGAGGGGGTAGCTCCGTTGGATATAGCATTCCTGGGCTGTTAATGGTGACTTCATATAAAGCACTGAAGGAGGAACGAGGAAAGTCCAAATGGAGACCTCTGTTAAAGAAAATAAATGTTGACTTATCATTTCACTGAACTGGATTTACCTGGAAAACTGTCATCTTCCACACTGATGTAGTTAGCAGATGCATGTTTCTGAATTTGTGACTGAACCCATCACAAAGCAGTCCATTGAAGAGATTCATCAGACAAGTGAAATGAAGCCTAAATTCAAAGGATAGTTTAAAAATTGTATTTCATTTTTGGATACTGGCCATTTTTACCAATGTATTCTATAGGCATTAATGTCTTGCACATACAGTACTCTATAGCAATGTACATTAACTTAAAGGCAATTTCCTCAAAAGATTAACTTTCACTTTTAACTTCTGTGTATAATGCTAACAATTATGGTAAAATTAATAGTAAATCTGAATCCTTGTTTTATGTTCAAATATTGTTATCCCTGTCTTGTCTGAATTCATCCACTTCTCCATCATGGTCTTTTTTTATACACTAGCACTATTATAAACAAATCAGTGTTTTAAACAGGGCTGTCAAGCGATTAAAAAATTTATCACAATATCGCAAGATATTTACATGTCAGATGCGCTAAAGATTCATATGTCCCTTCATGCTTCCACCACCATTCCAGAGACAGGCGTCCATGCTGATGACGGTTTCTGGTTAATAATGATCCAAAGCAAAGTGGACCGATTCATGTTCATTTTCATCATCTGAGTCAGATGCCACGAGCAGAAGGTTGATTTTTCTTTTTTGGTTTGGGTTCTGTAGTTTCCACATAGGAGTGTTGCTCTTTTAAGACTGCTGAAAGCATGCTAAACACCTCATCCCTCGCAGATTCTTAAACCTTAGGTCGAGTGCTGTAGCTATTTTTAGAAATCTCACATTGGTACCTTCTTTGCGTTTTGTTAAATCTGCTGTGAAAGTGTTCTTAAAACAAACATGTGCTGGGTCATCATCCGAGATTGCTATAACATGAAATGCAGGTAAAACAGAACAGGAGACATACAATTCTCCTGCAAGCAGGTAAGTCACAGATTTAATTAACGCATTATTTTTTTCACAAACATCATTAGCAGGAAAGCATGTCATCTGGAATGGTGGCCAAAGCATAAAGGGGCATACGAACGATTAGCATCTCTGGCACATAAATACCTTGCAACGCTGACTACAAAAGTGCCATGCGAATGCCTGTTCTCACTTTCAGGTGACATTTTAAATAAGAAGCAGGCAACAGCATCTTCTATAAATGTAAATAAACTTGTTTGTCTTAGCAATTGGCTGAACAAGAAGTAGGACTGAGTGCACTTGTAGGGTCTAAAGTTTTACACTGTTTTGCTCTGAGTGCAGTTATGTAACAAAAAAATCTACGTTTGTAAGTTACACTTTCACAATAAAGAGATTGCACTACAGTACTTGTGTGAGGTGAACTGAAAAATACTATTTCTTTTAAAAGTGGCAAAGAGTCCTGTGGCACCTCATAGACTAACAGAAATATTGGAGCATAAGCTTTTGTGGGTGAATACCCACTTCGTCGGACGCATGTAGTGGAAATTTCCAGAGGCAGGTATAAATATGCAAGCAAGAATCAGGCTAGGGATAACGAGGTTAGTTCAATCAGGGAGGATGAGGCCCTCTCCTAGCAGCTGAGGTGTGAACACCAAGGGAGGAGAAACTGCTTTTGTAGCTGGCGAGCCATTCACAGTCTTTGTTTAATCCTGAGCTGATGGTGTCAAATTTGCAAATGAACTGAAGCGCCGCAGTTTCTCTTTGAAGTCTGGTCCTGAAGTTTTTTTGCTGCAGGATGGCTACCTTTAAATCTGCTTTTTTGTGTCCAGGGAGGTTGAAGTGTTCCCTACAGGTTTTTGTATATTGCCATTCCTAATATCTGATTTGTGTCCATTTATCCTTTTACGTAGGGACTGTCCAGTTTGGCCGATGGACATAGGAGAGGGGCATTGCCGGCACATGATGGCGTATTACATTGGTGGACGTGCAAGTGAATGAACTGGTGATGGTGTGGCTGATCTGGTTAGGTCTTGTGATGGTGTTGCTGGTGTAGATATGTGGGCAGAGTTGGCATCGAGGTTTGTTGCATGGATTGGTTCCTGAGTTAGAGTTACTATGGTGGGGTGTGTAGTTGCTGGTGAGAATATGCTTCTGATTGGCGGATTGTCTGTGGGCGAGGACTGGCCTGCCTCCCAAGTCCTGTGAAAGTGAGGGATCGTTGTCTAGGATGGGTTGTAGATCAGTGATGATGCGTTGGAGAGGTTTTAGCTGAAGACTGTATGTGATGGCCAGTAGAGTTCTGTTGGTTTCCTTCTGAGGCTTGTCTTGCAGCAGGAGGCTTCTGGATACACATCTGGCTGTGCTGCTCTGTTTCCTTATTTCCTCGTGTGGGTATCGTAGTTTTGAGAATGCTTGGTGAAGATCTTGTAGGTGTTGGTCTCTGTCTGAGGGGTTGGAACAAATGTGGTTGTACCTCAGCGCTTGGCTGTAGACAATGGATCGTGTGGTGTGTACAGGATGGAAGCTGGAGACATGAAAGTAGGCATAGTGGTCAGTGGGTTTTCGGTATAGGGTGGTGTTAACATGACCATCACTTGTCTAGGAAGTGGACCTCCCATGTAGATTGGTCCAGGCTGAGGTTGACGCTGGGGTGGAAGCTACTGAAATTGTGGTGGAATTCTTCCAGGGTTTCCTTCCCATGGGTCCCAGATGATGAAGATGTCATCAATGTAGCGTAGGTAGAGAAGGGGCGTGAGTGGACGAGAGCTGAGGAAGCGTTGTTCCAGGTCAGCCATAAAAATGTTGGCATATTGTGGGGCCATGCGGGTGCCCACAGTGGTGCCACTGGTCTGGAGATATATATTGTCACCAAATTTGAAATAACTGTGCGTGAGGATAAAGTCACAGAGTTCAGCAACCAGTTGTGCTGTGGCATCATCAGGGATACTGTTCCTGACAGCTTGTATTCCATTTGTGTGTGGGATGTTTGTGTAGAGAGCCTCTACATCCATGGTGGCTAGGATGGTGTTTTCTGGAAGATCATGAATGCATTGCAGTTTTCTCAGAAAATGAGTGGTGTCACAGAGATAGCTGGGAGTGCTGGTGGTGTAGGGTCTGAGTAGAGAGTCCACATATCGGTCAGTCCTTCAGAGACAGTGCCAATGCCCAAGATGATGGGGCGTCCAGGATTTCTGGGTTTGTGGATCGTGGGTAGTAGATAGAATAGCTCTAAGGGTATGTTGATTTGTTCCTGTGTTAGTACAGGGAGTCTCCTGAGTAGATGATGCAGTTTCTTAGTGTATTCCTCAGTGGTATCTGAGGAAAGTGGCCTGTAGAATTTGGTATTGGAGAGTTGTCTGGCAGTCTCCTTTTGGTAGTCAGACCTGTTCATGATGACAACAGCACCTCCTTTATCAGCCTCTTTGATTATAATGTCAGGGTTGTTTCTGAGGCTGGGGATGGCATTGCATTCTGCACGACTTAGGTTATGAAGCAAGCAATGTTGTTCTTCCACAATTTCTGCCTGTGCACATCAGCGGAAGCCTCCTATGTATAGGTCCAGACTGTCATTTCGACCCTCAAGAGGAGTCCATGTGGAGGTCTTCTTCTTGTGCTGTTGGTGAGAGGGTATCTGTGTATCAGTGTGCTGTTCAGTGTTATCTTAAAAGTATTCTTGGGGTCGGAGACGGCAAAAGTAGGCTTCCAGATCACCGCAGAACTGTATCATGTTTGTGGGAGTGGCGGGGCAGAAAGAGAGTCCCTGAGATAGGACAGACTCTTCTGCCAGGCTGAGTATGTAGCTGGACAGATTGACGATATTGCTGGGTGAATATTTAATAAATTTCAATTGGTATTCTGTTGTTTAACAGTGCAATTAATTTTTTTAATTGCAATTAATTTTTTTGAGTTAATCACATGAGTTAACTGCGATTAATTGACAGCACTAGTTTTAAAATGTTGTTCTAAGAGACTTTGTGAAACATGCATGAAACTACAGTTCATATTTTTGGAAAAGACATCCACTATAAAGGATTGACACTATGGGGCTGTCTGTATTGTATAATTCATTTTTCCCTGAAGTAGTGTCAATTTGTGGCCCAAAGCTATGAAGGAATGACATTAATGTTCAGGGACAAAGAATTACCTCTGTGCTTCCATTACAGGTGCGCAGGTATATTCAGGTGGGTAGTAGGGTGGTGGTGGTATTGGAGGTATGAACTCATCGAAGTCCAGGGTCTGATGCAGAATAGTTCCATGGGGAGTCATACAGTCCGGGTTGGTGGAATGTGACCTCTGTGGCAGAAACTGAAAATAAATAAAAAAGGTAAGGTTTCTTCAGATGGTAATGGTGGAAATAACAAAAATAAGAAGACAGATTCTGCCATCCTTATTCTCATTGGGTTGTACCTTATTCCACAAGTAGCATTACTGCAATCAATTGGTCTGCTTCAGGGAATAGAGTACTACTAGAGTACTACGCAGTATGAGTGAGGGCGGTAGAACCTGGCCCAAAAGGAGGATGAGGAAATTGGTAGAAGTAAAACAAGATTTCATTAAACTCTTAGAGGACACCAAAAATCTTCATAAAGTTTGGGGGAAATACAATATTCTACCACCAGGATGGAGAACACAGACATTTCAGATTGAACAGTGTGGCAGAAAACAGGAGTTTATCTTATAAAGTAATTTGTTAAAGCATTAAATGGTATAACCTGTTAAGAAATAATGAACACTTGGTTATACCTATTAAAATAACTATTTGCACATTCTCACTGCCAATTTGGAATGCATCATATTAAAAGTCAGGTGCTACATGCTAAATATGTATTTTTAAAAAAGAAATAAGAAATGACAAGTATCCCACAAACCCATGTTTCATTACATGAGAATTCAACCTAATTTGTATTTGATTTTATAAAATAAATGATCTCAATATTAATATATTTTTATAGTTGGTGTGGTATAGAAATTGTTATGTTTTAATATGGTATACAGTTTTAAAATACTGTAATCCTGTGAATAAAAAGAAAAGAAAAAGGACGCTCCCCTATGCCCACACATTCCCACACCTAAAAACTAGGGCTGTCAAGCAATTAAAAATATTAATCATGATTAATCACACTGGTAATAATAGAATACCATTTATTGAAATATTTTTGGATGCGTTCTACATTTTCCAATATATTGATTTCAATTACAACACAGAATACAAAGTGTACAGTGCTCACTTTATATTTATTTTTATTACAAGTATTTGCACTGTAAAAAATAAAAGAAATAGTATTTTTCAATTCACCTAATACAAGTCATAGAATCATAGAGTTGGAAGGGACCTCAGGAGATCATCTAGTCCAACCCCCTGCTCAAAGCAGGACCAATCCCCAATTTTTGCCCCAGATCCCTAAATGGCCCCCTCAAGGATTGAACTCACAACCCTGGGTTTAGCAGGCCAATGCTCAAACCACTGATCTATCCCTCCTCCCAGATAGGAGTTGCCTTATCAAGTGGGAGGGCCTCGTTAGCACTGACCCCCCCACTTGGTAAGGGGACTCCCATATTTTCATGTGCTGTGATATATATACAGTTTACTGTATGTTTCACTCCATGCATCCGATGAAGTGGGTTTTAGCCCACGAAAACTTATGCCCCCAAAAATGTGTCAGTCTCTAAGTGCCACAAGGACTCCTCGTTGTTTATGAAAATACCTGTTCTCACTTTCTGGTGACATTGTAAATAAGAAGAGGGCAGCATTATCTCCTGTAAATGTAAACAAAACTTGTTTGTCTACGCAATTGGCTGAACAAAAAATAGGACTGAATGGACCTGTAGGCTATGAGGTTTTAAGTGGTTTTGTTTTTGAGAGCAGTTATTTAACAAAAAAAATCGACATTTGTAAGTTGCACTTTCACGACAAAAAGATTGCACTACAGTACTTGTATGAGATTAATTGAAAAATACTATTTCTTTTATCATTTTTACAGTGCAAATATTTGTAATAAAAATAATATACACTGATTTCAATTACAACACAGAATACAATATATATGAAAATGTAGAAAAACATCGAAAATATTTAATAAATTTTAACTAGCATTCTATTTTAACAGTGCGATTAAAACTGTGATTAATCGCAATTAATTTTTTTAAATCGCAATTAATTTTTTTAATTAATCACATGAATTAACTGCGATTAATCGACAGCCCTACTAAAAACAAAAAATACAACTGTACCAAACTCTAAACAGTAACAATGACTGAGAAGTACAAATCAAGGGCCTGAAGCTGATCAGGCTCTAACACAGCAATAGGATCAAAAAGCACACTCAGTGATATAGAAAAACAATAGCCTAATGAGCCTGTTAGCAGGTTTAAATGACTGTTCTGAAGATCAAATGAAACTTGGCCTTTGTGACCCTGTTTTATATGCTCTGCATGGGGAGAAGCACATCAATAGCCAATCACAACACAGAGAGGCATTCTTTCACCTTCTGTTGAGTCTCTGCTGTCATATTATTTTTGTAGGACTGGTAGATGATTGGGTCTTTAGCTCACCTTTTGAAACAACTGAGCTAAGAAAATTTTCTGAAGGCACACTTCTGCTTTTTTACTGAAACAAGTGAATATATCTATTTGTACTGTTGTCTCATTGCATTGTTATGATTTTTACAAAAGTTCCACTGACACAGATAAAAGAAGCAGCCATATAACAGGAAAACAAAAATGTTTATGTTTAGAAGACCTAGCAAATGGGTTTCATTTTTAGCTTGGCAGGGGTTGTACCTTTCTGGGAAGAACTCATCTCAGACGTAAATCTGATTTTACATTACACCAGCAATTAATCTGGCTCCTTGTGTTTAGAAGCTTAAAGTAATCATTGTTCCATGAAACACTCTATGTATAAGATGACTTAAAGGTCACAGTCTCAATGATGTAATACAGTGGAGGGTCAGGGAGCCAGGTTCCCTTTGTTTGTGGGAAATTAACAATTAGATGCTTACTAATTAGCTGTCAAGTTATACTTTCCAGGATATCTACGAAGTAATTAGCCTCCCATGCTCCAGATTCTGCTACCAGCAGTCAATCTACTTCTTTCAGTCACTGTGTTCTACTGATGCTACTAGAACAGTAGGAGCAAACTCATAGCTACGTACTACCTCTGGCCTGACGCACACTAGGCTGGCAAAGCTCTTCCCAGGTTGAACCTAGGAACAAAAGCTATATTAAAATCTTAAAGATGCTAGCCTAGGCAGGAAGTGGGGGGTTGAGTGGGGTGTCAGTAGTCACCTAGGTGGAGTCTCTGACAGATGTACAGGGAGACTGTGTCACAGGGAGCACATTGCAGCAGGACAATCTGTCTCTCTCATACAGACATGCGGTGAACTGGGCTGAGAGGAGCTTGCAAGAAAAGATTAAGATGTAGGTAAGGGGAAATATACGTCTAGCCCTGTTGTTTTATATGTTTGCTCTTATTCATAGATTTATAAATTCCAAGGCCAAAAGGACCATTGTGATCATCTAGTCTGACCTCCTGTATAACACAGACCACAGAACTCCACCAAAATAATTCCCTTTCAACTAGAGAATATCTTTAAACCAAAATCCAATCTTGATTTTAAAACTGCCAGTGACTGAAAATCCACCATAACCCTTGGTAAGTTGTTCCAATGGTTAATTACCCAGACTTGAAAACTTACTCCTTATTTCCAGTCTGAATTTGTCTAGTTTCAACCTGCAGCCATTGGATCTTGTTCTTACTTTTTTCTGCTAGTTATCAAATATTTGTTTATCAAATCTTATTATCCCATTATCAAATATTTGTTTCTCATTTAGATACTTATAGACTGATCAAGTCACCCCTTAACCTTCTCTTTGTTAAACTAAATAGATTGAGCTCCTTGAGTTTACCACTATAAGGCATAATTTCCAATTCTTCAATCATTCTCATGGCTCTTCTATGAAACAGCTACAATTTATCAACATCCTTCTTTAATTACAAACGCCTTACAGAAATTTAAGCATATTACATCAACCTTATTTCCTTTAGCAATCAATCTCATCAAAAGAAGATATCAAGTTAGTTTGACCGGATCTATGAATCTATTTTCCATAAACCCATTTTATTGTCATATTATTATTTAATGTATTATTATTTATATTTATTATTTAATGATTGTCATTAATTCTTTATTAATCATGTCCGTATCAGCTGCTCATTTATCTTGCCCTGGATTGATGTCAGCCTGACAGGCCTATAAATTAGCTGGGTCATCCTATCTACCCTTTTTAAACATTGGCACAACCTTAGCTTTCTTCCAGTCTTCTGGAACTTTCCCAGCATTCCAGACTTATTGAAGACAAACATTAATGGTCTAGCGAGCTCTTAAGTTAGCTCTTTTAAAACTCTTGGATACAAGTTCTCTGGAACTGCTGATTTTACTATGTCTAACCGTAGTAGCTGCTGTTTAACATCCTCATGAGTTACTAATGGAATGGAAAGCATGTCATCATTATCATAATCTGAAATGACTACATGAGATGGCTTTTTTCCAAATAGGGAACAAAAAAATATTTACTGAAAAACATCTGTCTTGTCTGCATTATTATTGATAATTCTACCATTTCCATCTAGTAATGGACCAAAACAATTGTTAGGATTATCTTTGTTTTTTATGCAATTTTAAAAGCTGCCTTCTTGTTGTCCTTAAGGAAACTCTTTATGGCAGGGACGGGCAAACTTTTTGGCCTGAGGGTTTCCGAAATTGTATGGACGGCCGGTTAGGGGAGGGTGTGCCTCTCCAAACAGCCAGGCATGGCCCGGCCCCTGCCCCCATCTGACCCCCCCCCGCCGCTTCTCACCCCCTGACAGCCCCCAGGACTCCTGCCCCATTGAATCCCCCCGTTCCCTACCCCCTGATAGCCCCCCCCCAGGACCACTGCCCCATCCAACCCCACCTTCTCCCTGACTGCCCTTGGAACCTCAGCCCCCCGCTGCCGCATCCAACCCCCCCTCTCCTTCCTGACTTCCTCCCCGGAACCCCTGCCCCCATTCAACCCCCCTGTTCCCTGCCCTCTGACTGCCCCGACCCCTATCCACACCTCCGCCCCCTGACCACCACCCCAACCTCCCCTGCCCTCTATCCAACTGCCCTCCCCTGCTCCCTGCCCTCTTACCGCACTGCCTGGAGCGCTACAGCCATGCCGTCCAGAGCACCAGGACAGGCAGCCGCGCCACCTGGCTGGAGCCACCCACGCCACCACACAGCACAGAGCATTGGGTCAGGCCATGGCTCTGCAGCTGCGCTGCC